GACTTAGTTCAGCTCTCGTAATCGAAAATTAGTTTAATTAATGACCGTTGATTCTCTAAATATATCACAGTCATACGACCGGCATAAATAGCAAATCGTGGGTCAGCCAAGACTAATTTAACGTTGCAGTAATATTTAGTAAATATCCTAATCGGTTGATACATGAGTAGTTACACCCATGTTGTACAAATTCTGGGGTTAATAACCCCACATATTTGGCGCCTTTTTGGTTTCACTACCAAAGAATATTATTTTCCCACGCTCCAGGGTTGCGAACATGTTAAGTTATGGGTAGCCATATTGTTAGAAGCGGTATCATAGACATGCTAATGCAAGCTACTTGCTGACATGTAACAGAGTGTCCATAAAGTCCCTTTGAAAATTTAATTTTGTTATGAATTCAGTTCTCAATATATTTTAACCAGGTTTATTGTTTTTTAATCAGTAACTGTTTAGTATTTTTACTTAATTTAATACATCTGCGAGGGCCAAAACAATATATGGATGGTATCGATAAATTTCCTTTGCAATTTAAAAAATTGTAATATTTTATGAACACCCTATATATTGAATTCAGCCGCAAATCCTGCATTTTTGCATAATATATTAATTAATTTCCGAGTACTAGGCCTGTGATTTTATGGTTGCATATGAATTACTATTCTTATCGTGTTAGTTTCAGTTGTTTAATGAGTTTTTAGGAAGATAGAATTTGAATATCTGAAAAATTTCAATCAAAGTTCGTTGCTAACATGCATATGCAATAACGTAAAAAAAGAGAGAAGAAAATAGAGTTACGTGTGATTTTGAAATTTATATTCATTTGTGAGGATTGAATCCGTGGGTCCCCCAGAATATTTCTATACTTGGTCCGTAAGGTAAAAGAGTAATAAACAAATAAGTAAAAAAATTGAGAAAATATTTCGGATTGTCCCGATCTATTAATGAAAATGAAATTATTCAAGTAATTAAACATTAATTAATAATTGTTTTGCCTTCGGTCAAATATCTTAGCATAAACATATTAATCGGGTAACTACTTAATTAGTAAACGGCTACACGCCCGCCTTACTGTCCCTTCTAAATGGGGTATGCTGGCACTTGTACTTATTCGGTTTCTAATATTAGCATTTCCGCTTGACGATTCCCACGACAAATAAAGCAATATGGCGTCTCTTGCACGACACGTTGGAGTTCTTTAAAGGTATGCCCGTTTAAACTTTCATATTCCTGAAATATCTCATTTTACTCTATTCTGAACAGAGTTTTGACGATGGTAATTTATGCCACTTGACGTAACAGGCAAAATTGATATTTTTATAAAATATTTGTTTCTCGAAAAATAGCACATCAGTGGATGATATGCATTTCTATACAATTTTAGAAATTTCGCATGGTACATGTAATAATATTAATTATCATTGAGGTCACACCGAGATTGCGTTTGTTGCATAAAAATGCTGTGGCCCATTTATATTTTCATGCCAAGGGAAAAAGACAAGAGAAAATCCGAAAAAATAGACACTTCAATATTTAGAATGAAAATTACCACTCAATAGCGAAAAGACAGCATCGTCATTTTTTGCAACTACAATCAAAATTTAACGATAGTGACACGAATGAACTAAATTTATTAGTAAATTTAGCAAATTTTAATAGATTTGTGGCCCATCTGAAAATGTTTCTCTGGCCCAGCAGTGGGCCATGGCTCACTGGTTGAAGATCCGTGGCCTAAACGGAAAGATTCCGGTCCGCAAGATTAGTCCTTTGCATGTAAGTAGGGCTGGGCATTTCGAATCGAATAGTGAATTATTGGAATCGGCGCTCCCGTAGTATTCGTACCAAGATGGCGCACAACCTGCTAACCCTAACCTGGTACACATACTATGTTCAGTTTGTGCGCCATCTTGGTACAAACACTACGGGAGCACCTTCGAATCGGTTCAGGGCAAAATTTCGAATTGCCGCCATCTTGTTTTTGATTTTTCCGCCTATGGTCGAGGTGAATTCATTAATTTTTTTTTATTGAAGTCATATTTTTCCAACGCAATTGTGACATAGGACTATTTTCTGTAGTGAGTTATCGATAAAAAGTATTTCTTATTGTGTGTGATCGCTCGGCAATTTGTCTTAGTGATGTATTCTATGTTTTCAGTAATTCATTTGTTGACAGGACTAATTGAAATGAAAAAGTCGCATATAATTATATATCTCCCATGTATTCGAGATTCGGAGAAATATTCGATTCGACTCCAACATATAAGCGAATGATTGTGAAGAATCTTGTTTAGAGTGAAAATGTAAAAACGCCTCAAAAAAGTCATAATCGCATAATTCCGAACTGATATTTATAAAAATCTCTGGTTTCGTCTACAGCCGCGCAGATGTTCATCCATTTTGGATTCATTCCTATTTTAAGACATATTTATCTTATGAGAAAACATGGCATGTTAGCAATGTACTTAGAGTCCCCAGACGGTAAATAAAATCAAAAGAAAACAACTAAAACATTGGCTGAGAGTCTTTTCAAGTATTGTTAGGTCGAGTAAGAGTGACCTAATTTTAGAATATTTGTGACGAAATTGACGTCATAATACTTCAGGTCATAAGAGGGTCCTTAGGAATGTGTACCATATTTACACTACGCAAAACATTGGAATGCTAACTAAAATTTTGCCAAGGATAACAAAATCTCTTTACACAAAATAGAAAGTATATTTGTGAGCTTTCGTAAGATCATAGTATAACTTCTTTAGATAAAACGAGATATAACTCCAATCAAACTGCTGATAAAAGATTCATATTTGTCTATTTAATACTCATTCGAGCATCCTTATGGCAACAGCCGGCCACCTACGGATCCAAAATAAAGTTAAACGAGGGGAAAGGACTTGCAAGCCAATATACAATAGTACCCTCCATAATTTTGCATTTTTCCATATTCAATTAAACCCCAATTTTGCTAAAGAAACAGGATTCGCCGTAACACTTCTTCTTTCGTGAGCGTGGAGTCTTACAGCCGTTATGTTTATCATTTCGTTTTGCAAACTCGGTGTTTTGTCTTGCCATATACCGGTACTGACTACCAATTCGCATGCGGAAAGTCATGTCCGCCAGCCGACCATGTAAATTCGGCGTCACATGGACCAAATAAACAATATTTTGTACAAAGCCCCCGTCACTAATGCAAAAATGTGAGATTTGAGAAAACACCTCCGCCATGTTTTAAAATACTAAATTAGTAAATATTATCCAGTTGGGGTTAGGAATGATTTAAAAAGTTGAATTTTCAGCGCAATCTGCGTTTCTAACTAAAATTTTCTTATTATGAGCATTGTCCGGGGCTTTGTACAAAATATCCCGATTAAATGTCTTATTGGGAAAATTTTGCGTCACTCGATCAATAAATGGTCAAGTTAAAACTATAGAGTATTTTCAGTCAAAATAAGTCTCTGTGACAAAGTCATTCGACTTCCGTGCCCATATGTTTGAGCATTGCTCTATTGTTCATAGTCGACTCAGTTCTGTAGCTAAGGGACTGGCGGACCGCGGCCCAAATCCGGACCTTTCGAGTATTTGATTCCAACCGCACCAAATTTTTTATTTTGGATCATTAGCCCCACTGTTGAAGTATTATTTTATAAAATGCCTTTCATTGTTCTGAATATATATGAAAAGAACTATAACAACATAACAAACAATCTTGATTGGCTGATAATCTTTAGCCGATCGAGGAATAACGCGTTTAAGGATGCCGAAATATAATTTCTGGAAACACCGGACCCAAATAATTTTGAAGTTTTGTATGCGGATCTTCGGTAAAAATAGTTGAGTAGCCCTGATGTAGCCTACCCAATCTACAGTGAAATGACATTAATTTCACCGTTTTATTGTGCCGTAACCATTTAAACATTGTGCTTACAGATACTCGTTTGGTCTATCAAAAATGTCTTGTGCAAACATTGAGTTACTACCGATATCAGACGCTTTTGTTGTTAGATTAAAACTTATTGACAATTGCAATAATACGAATTCCGGAAGCGAACGAAACGGTATCTTGAAAACAAACAAACGTATTTCACTGTCAAACATGTACTTTCATATCTAACGAATGGCGTGTTACACAATATTATACGAGTTCGTACGTCTATGATACGATATGCCTTCTGTGCAACCTCAATGGTTATCTTCTAGGGATGCAAGTGAATGTACGAGCCCACCGGGATAAACTGAACAAAATTCGAAATATTTTACATATTAAATTTTAACTATATGGCCACAGTACAATCAATTTAGCTTTTATACTATTTCAAAGTTTAGAGAAAATTTTTGTAAATTGTAAAATAAAATTGTAAACCATACATTTGTACTGACAATGGGCACAAGGCACTATCAAAAGTAAAAAAAAAAGTATAGCTTTGAAAGTCAGACCAAAATATGGCCCGCGGGGCGTGATTAGAGAAGATAAAAAACGTTCATTTTTGGAAAAAGTAACACAAGGTAGCCCTTACTATGGTTTTATTGTGACGATATGTTGTGATAAAACTTCTTGCTTGATTTATTACAATTGATTTGTGTGTTCGATGCTTTTTGCTAGTCTCAGGCCGTCTTCAGCGTGACTCCAACTTCCTTTGCTTAATTAAAGTTTGTTGATTATAAATCTCGCACGCATTCCATCAGGCAAACGAAAACAAACAAAACTATTTACTTTCGTTGACAACTTCACCTTATGAATGCAACGTCTCAAAGGATGCAATTATTGTGTAATAATGTGTTTAATATAGCGCTGGAGGTCACTGAACTTCGTTTTATAATAACCCGAGGTCAATATAATATACTAATTTATGATGTATGAATCGATATTATGACACCACAACACACGTATATGTTACGTCACAGTGACCTGGTGTTGAAATTTAATTAAGAAAATTATATTTAATGTAATAAACTTGGCATGAGTTCCGCTACTGTATATTAGGTTTGCGGTCTTCAATAAGGAAGCGGATCATCCCTATGTTGCACGTGTATATTAACTTTATACCGGTGTACTTTAAAATCAGACCGCACTTTGTATCTATGGGGAGTTGGTTGTATAAGCACAGAGTGGGATGCAATATCAACCATATTTGCGGTTGCTCTGCTGTGAGCTAGGTTCTTGAGTTCGTTCAGAATGGTTTCTCGTGCTCACATGAATGCCGTTATAATGCTTGTTCTTTTGTTTCGATCAGTTTGTGTTCGCAGTTGGAATTTTAACATAGAAAGTAAGCAAAGTATATTTTTTTGCTTTTTATTTTTGCTTTAAAAAGAGCAATTTGTGTACTCAGTTGGCATTTTAATGTAAAAGGAAAGTAAATTTTGTTCAACTGGTATATTTTCGACCATGAAATAACAGTTCATGTGATTGCCTGGTATTGTGCAGTGTCTTGTGCTCAACCTAATACCATTTGGTATTTGTTCTTATGTTGAAAACAGTTTTTGTGCAACATTGGCATAACTTAGAAATAAAATAGAGTGTCTTTTTTGGTATATTCTTGCTCCTATTAGCACATTTTATATGGTTGCCTGGTATTGTGTAATAGTGTCCCGTGCTTATATGACGACCATTCTAGTATCTGGTTCTTGCAAACAGTTTTTGTGCAAAGTTGGCATTTTAACGTAGAAAGTAAGTGTAGTATGTTATGTTCCATTGGAATATTTTTGTTCTCATTGGAACAGTTTACAATAGTATTATGGCCTTCTATTGCATATAAATAGAGAAAATCGTAAGAGGCAAATTTATAAAACGTAGAAAGCAAGAAAAATAGATTTAGATATTTGTTTTAACAAACACAAAATTATTAAAAACGTTTAAATGCGTGTAGTATAATGGCAAAGCGTAATGACTCAATAGACGATGGACGAAAAAGACTTAAAAAGTCTTATTTGTTATTATCAAGTATTCTCTGTACAAGAAAAAACTATCGAAATAAGAAACCTTGAACAGTTTAACAAAATACTAACAATGTTCCTTTGTGTGGACGAGAAATATATTATTGGACATGAAATGTACCTATGGATTGTTTCGTTATTATGCTGTTGTTGATCATCATGTTGTTAGCATTTGTTTCCTTTTTCTTGTTGTGAAAAAATCGCTTTTCTTCTTAACTACTGGGCCAGTTGCTTTGAAATGTCCAGTGGTTGGAGATTGCAGCTGGAAATATATTACTTTTCTTTATTTCAAATTTAAGGGATTCGTTTTTTTAGTGGGCGATTATGTCATTTAAAATTGCGCACCTCTACCCACCGTACTATATTTTACAGCTTACGGCTTTTTGTGAAATGTCCTTACATTCTGTGATATAGGATAGGAATTTAAATTTACCCCGGCAAAATTGCTCGATCATATGAACGAGTCGTTTTATCGTTAATTTTTTCTCCAACGCGATAACTGTGAAATCGTTTATACCCACGACAACGTTGTTTCGGTAATGGCGCGATTTGTGTTTTATTGATTGTCCTTTAATTTTCCAGTAAAAAGGAAGGACAACCGAACAAAATCAAAAAAATCGGCTTATTAACTTCCCTTTTCTCTGACATAACTGCGGAAAATCTATATTACAATAGTTTAAGTCTCTTTCGAGGGTCTCGCTGTACGCTAACACAAATATATTTCTGTAACGTTTCGTCTGACCAAGGTCAGACTTCCTCAGACATACATAGTTCAACTATAACAGGAAAGGGATGAGTTGTTAGTCCCGCAGAAACCAAATCATCAGCGCACGTTGCAATGTTTTTGTGCATTTCGCACAATTTGTGTTGTTTTGATGAAATCTCGTCTCAATAACACGCGAACCGAGGATTAGATCCACTATGTCTTGATTTAGGTTTAGTTTACCCAGCTAGATTTTGTCAGCTGTGACATCGGCGATTGTAACTTGAGACAAATCAAACCGAACCCACTTGAGTAATTCAAATAATAGGCCACAGATTAGGCAATTTTGAAAACAACCTTTATTTGAAATGTAATTGTGAAGTGTTTCAGTGTGGTCACATAGTCGGGAATATTTGGACACTCACTGTTAATATTGGGTGCGACAGGCAGTGATTTTCAACTTTTTTATCGTCGCGGAACCTCAATGAAACGTTCAAGATGAAGAACCCCTGTGCAATACTCGTACGTTATAGGGCGCCCACTTACAAGATTTGAAATGTGTGCATACACATAGGTGAGCTTACCACGCGTCCCGGTTTAGCCGGAAAAATCCCGGATTTTGACAAGCGGTCCCGCGCGGTAGACTTGAATGTTTCGCTCATGCAGTATTGCAGTCATAATTTTTTTTATTTATATTCATAGAAAATTGTTTTATTTGACGGAAGCAGTCCATTTATCACTGATTTGCACTTCAATAGTGCAAATCAGTTCAATATTTAAGTGAGAAAGCTACTATATTGTTATGTCATAATTATCACATAATTCATACGTCAATTTAACTGTCTACCGTACTATGATAATAGTTGGAAAATGCTTATGGTAAGAAGTCTGATCCCGGTCAGACAAAATGTTACAGAAATACATTTGTGTTAGTGTGCTGCAAGACTATTCAATCAAATTGAATTATTTAAAATGCCAAGAAGTAACTGCACGTTTTGCAATGATTCGAATTTTACTAATATTCATATAACTTGACTAATGTGACTAAGCCTCGTAATCGTACCAAGTTTTAATCCGCACTGTCCCGTTTTTTTGTTTCATTACATGGTCAGCCTAGTTATAGCCTTTGTCCTGCCGATAGAACTGTCAGCAGATATTGATAGAATATGGAATTTCACGGGAGCTCCCGAAGAATGTGCACCAAGATGGCGCACAAACTGAACATAGTATGTGTACTAGGTTAGGGTTCAGGTTGTGCGCCATCTTGGTACGAATACTTCGGGAGCGACATTTCACAAATTCTCCTTAAGTTAGCCTCTGTGGCAAAATGTCCTTTTTATTTGCACAAGGCAGGGAGGTTAATCCGCTTTGCGGAAATTTAAGGGCTCAAGTTATCTGAGCCAGAGACACATCTGTTCGGTGGTGATAGGGGATCACACGAACTTATGACGTCATAATCAAGATCGTATTACAATTGAGGGGTAAATTCTTGCTATATTTATAGTAAAGAACTAAGGATAATCATGTGTAAATAAGTATTTTGAGGAAAAATTCCCTTTTTTTGCGCCGGAAGAATTCATATAACTTGTATTATCGATTGTATGTTCAAAACAAGCGTTTGTAAAATATAGAACAAACTTGAAAATGGAAGAAGACTTTAATTTCATCAACTTGCAATATCATCAAATTGTAAATTAATTGCAACACATACTCCTCTACATACATTGCTCACCATTTTATTACACCATGGGTGAATTGCTTGAAATGCGAGCCAGAGATTTTAACCTGCGAAGTTAGAATAGTTAGGTCTAGGGCTAGGCATTTTGAATCGAACAGTAAATTATTCTAAGAAGTTCAGACGAAAATTTTAAATCGTCGCCATCTTGTTTTTTTTTTGTCCGCCAATGGCCGAAGTCAATTCTAGTTAGTTATGGATAAAACATTTCTTTTATTGTGTATGAACGCTCAACAAACTGTCTGAATGATAGATTATATGTTTTCAGTAATTCATGTGTTGAGAAAACCCATCACAATTGAAATTGTCACATAAAATTTCTCTTAGTATTCGAGATTCAGTTCGAAATAAAAAATACGATTTGGTTTTGGAATCGTTAGGTATATGAGGGTCCCACGCTCCAAGCACTACGCCGTCTCGCTGTTGTATTTGCTGTGAATTTTCTTAACTTCAAATGTTTTGTGTTGCTTTGTAACTGTATTTACAAATGTCAACCTGTTTTATGAATTGTGTGTTGAAAACACGCGTTTCTCGAGGAATAGAGAACACTTTTTTAAATCTAGGATTCTATCATGATTCACTTCAACCACTAGATCAGGGTTGTGCAAACTGCGGCCCTCGAGGAACAATTGTGCGGCTCGCGGAGAATTTGAATGATGTGCGGCCCACGAAACGAGTTTTCAATTTGGTAATTTCAATCACTCTGGGTTGCGAAGCGTATACTCGAGTCCAATTTATTATCTATGTATATGACGTTACAATCCCATAATAGCTAGCTTGTGCGAAGTGAACAACCCCTATCAATGACAAAAATTGTATCGCCTGCACGTACTAGAAAGTCAATGTTTACAAAAGGTACGGTCCACGGTTTCACCCAGTTATTTGTATCTGGCTCTCCTCTATTAAAGGTTGCACACCCATGCACTAGGTCAGGGATGGCGAACCTTTTCAGATGAATGGGTCAAAAATTATATTTTTATCGCGGAACAGAAGAGAGTGGGTCACAGATATTTAATCAATGTTTGTATCTATAAGAAACTTCTGAATCAAATCTTGTAAGCTTCTGTTGGTGTTGGTGTAGTTTTGGGATTATGCAGCATTTCCATTAGGGACTTTTTATGGCACTCGATTATATGAAATGAGAGTACGAAAACACGCATATTAATTAACAAAAACGTTTAGGATGATGGGGAAAATTAATTTACGGTACCAAATAGTTTAGAGGGAATTCCACTCTGATAAAGTGATATTTTTCGATCTGCTTCAAACCACATTAGGGCACTTTCACACTGTCCCATTGGTATTTCGGATTTCTAGGTTTTTATTTCAAATCTAGAATATTTTGTTTTTACAGCGGCATTGTAGATGAGAAACTAATAAAATGCAAAGTAGCATCAAGTTCTCGTATTACCCCTAAAAAAGAGCATGCAGGTGCACTTCCAAAAGAGACGAGGCGTTGCGAAAAATTACCAGATCAATTGCATTGTTATATCATAAACGATGTCAGAGCCAATAGCTGAATATCGGTACACAGCGGTGCAGACGTCCAAGATTAGGGGTTTTTAAAATTATCATACCGGCCCGGAAACATAAATTCGAATATGAGCGATCATAGCCTTGACTGCCCAACTGACGGTACATTATAATAGTCATAGTAGTTAATAATTTAAGTCCGGTTTTATCAATTTTTAGCACTGAAATGTTAGCATTTTTTCATTTCATTCGTGCCTTGGTTAGTCACGAATAAAACGACGTGGGTCACTTTGTGACCCGCGGGTCAGTGGTTCGCCATCCCTTCACTTGGTCATCTCGCCTACATATTTACTCTAAGAATTAATTTTCTTTACTTCTAATGACTTGTATGACCTAATTCGAACTTCATCTGCATCATATTTAATAACTCATTTTCCAGGTTACAGACAATCCCTGGCTTGTGGGCGTGGATGCGTTAAGTGCGATGAGACCAACGGTTGCTTACTTTGTCGGCGAAGAATGTTTCTTTACATCAGCATGGAACGTGGAAGGCAATATGGAACCTGCAAACACGAATGTCCAGAGGGATATTTTGGACAACGAGGGAGAGATATGAACACATGCTCAAGTAAGCATTCCTCCTATTGCAGGGTTTTGCGGTATAAGCGTAGCCTGAGGGGCAGTGCCCCAAAGATTTTAACCCCCAAGTTTTCAACATGTTTTTTAAATTTAATTTTGCGGCATATGCGGTGAGACATGAATTCTTACGCCCTTCCTGATATCATTTTGCTCGATTCTTGAACAATTTACTGAAAACCATACTTTCCTTGCTTCGATAATTCGTTCACCAAATGAACCAACCGAGATAGATGAAAATGCGCGCTTATATGCCTTGGATAGCTTCTACAGCGAAGTAAGTCTGTAGAGAGATTCTTTTAAGATATTGTTAGATGTCAGTGGCTACTTTTATCCGGTCTTGTTTGGAGAAAAAGGCGCTATTAAGCGTTGTATTACGTCATTATACAAAAAAATGGCATCCATGTTAACAAAATGGCTGACACTTTCGGATATGTCTAACTCGAATCGGTTCTGGAGAATATGCTTTTGATAAATAGCTCCATCGTACAGATCTCTAAGCGACGTTACCGGCGGGCAAACGCTATAACGGTGAACTATGCCGTACCTGTACCAACTACCGATACCGCGATTCTTGAAGCTGCTCTGTTCAAGTTCATACCTCCTAAACACAATACTTTGTAACAATTTTTGGTACTCCCATATTATTTGAAACACATAGTACGTTCCTGTGTCCGCCCTCTTGGTTCATATTCTACATCAGTACCCAATTTTTATCTTGCATATTTTTATTCAGAGTGTGAAGTAGCGAACTGTAAGACATGCTTTACGAGTGATTACTGCACAACCTGCCAGGACAAGTTTTTTCTGGATTCGGAAAACGCAAAATGTGTGGAAGAATGCCCGAGCCATTTATATGCGAATCCTCACAACGGGAAATGCGAAGATAAAGGTGAAGTATTTAATACGGATCGTTTCGCTCTATAACGCTTTTTTCTGCAACTGATGAAACAATGAATTCATTATTTTTGTCTTTCACGGGACTCAAATTTGCCGATATTTATAATTCGCCCTCAACTTGGACCTCCAGAAGTGAGTGCACCTAGATGGCGCACAACCTGAACATAGTATGTGTACCAGGTTAGGGTTCAGGTTGTGCGCCATCTTGGTGCACATACTTCGGGAGCGTCCTCAACTTCATATGACATTCAACGCGATTTGTTTTTAGTCCCAATTGTAAGTGGGTTTTGTCGTAGGACGGCGTCTAAAATAGTATTTAAAAATTCAAAATTTTTTTGACTTCGACCCAATTCCGGAAAAAATCAAATTTTGGTAACAAAAATTACGGCGTGTGCAATCATTCTTTAATAAACTGGTAAAAATTCTTAAATCAACTTAGGTTTTTTTTCGACTCTTTCGAGTTTGAGCATGCGACTCAGTCTCTGACTCCAATAGAAACGTGCCCAAGTCCGCCTAGGTAGATTTACAACTATCCACATCGATTTTAATTTTTACACTTGAATAACTTTGCCGACCACTGAAATAAACTAAACTTTGGTTCTGATCCGACTTAATGCAACGCAGAGCGAATGCCCTTAAAAGGGAGAGGGCAATTTTGATATAAATGCTCAACGTATCCACGCATAGGCCGGCCTTTGTCAAGTATGTATCACAGTTAGGCCAGCTTATGTAGAATTATTGGCGCTTCAGAAGTGTATGTACCAATATGGAGGTAACTAAATATGTTTGCTTACTTTACATCAAGTTTTGTAAAGAGACTGAAAGCTATGGGCAGGGCATATATTCACTTGACTAACACATACAGTCCCTGAACTCGTTATAGAACTAAAATAGGGAAAATCGTAATGAAATCATGGCCTAACCCTAACCTGGTACACAAACTACACCCTTTGTAAAGCATATATCACGGATAGGCCAGCTTGTTCAGAACTATTGGGCGTAGTATGTGCACCAAGATGACGCACAACCTGGTACACATACTATGTTCAGGTTGTGAGCCATCTTGGTGCATATACTACGGGAACACCAACTATTGCAACTGAAACATATATATTACACCAGGGTACATTTCCTTCAACTATTTTACCAATTTCTTTGTTTCAGTTGATTGCGTGGTTGGACCTTGGTCTTCCTGGGGTAAATGTGCGCGCAGGTCAGCTTCCCGTTCATGCAAGTATGGAAGAAAGAAAAGAACGCGACAAATCCTTCAGCATCCGACAGAAAATGGGAGGAAATGCGGAAAACTACGGGAAACGAAAAAATGCAAAACACCATCTAGTGAATGCATCTGTGAGTGGAATAGAGACAGTAAGAGCCTGCTACCTTTCTCTCTCTCTCTCTCTCATTTCCGAACTTCTCATTCATTTATCCTCCATTTCTTCTTGCATTGATAACCTACATTATTTTAAAATCCAAAAAGTCTATCTGGGAAACCTTGAACAGTTATTCACAATTTGTTGGTAGACGTAATGGTCATTCTTGGCCCTAATGGCCCCTTTCGTTTTATCTTCTCTCTAGTTTCTATTTCCTAACTTTACATCCAGGTTACACAATTAATTTTCGTTTCGTCTTTTCTATCTCATTTGCTTTTTTCTGCACTCCTAGCTTACATTACTTCAACTTTAAAAAGCTAGTCTTGAAATAAACTTATCGTATGTACAGTTACGAATTTACGACACACTCAATTGTCGTTCTATTTCGGTATTACTGCTGATTTAACTAGAATTCATATGGATTACTTAGTTTATTGTTATGGAAATTTATCAAATATACATTTATACTGAGTTAACAAGGAGTACATGAGTGTGGTCTTCACACATAGTGAGGAAGAATGAAAAGTTCCAAAATAGACACATAAAAGAATTTACCACAAACGATTTGAGACCATTGGTATATACCAGATATGGGCAAGGCCACTGACATATAAGAGTTTGGGACAGGCCGAAATCTTTTAGGTTCGGCATTGCCTACCTTTTCTCAAATACAGACAATGTGGAATTAACTGTTGCGGAGTAATGAATTTTTTTCCCACAACAATAAGATGATCCCCAACAGCGACACCAATTTAGCAAACCAAGCCATAGTGGACATTCGTGTCCAGTGAAGTTGAATGTACGAAAGCTAAATAATTGTCCACTAAAGGATAAACAATTGTGTTTTCAGCTAATGAAGAACAAATGTTGTAACGTGTTGATATATTTGTGAGTAACGGAATAAAATGGTGCGGTGTATAGTAAACGGTGTTTAATAATAAGCAGCAAAATAACTTCCATAATGATAAAGCGAAGAATATTTAGCCAATCGCGAAGAATAGCATTTTTATAGGGAAGTTAAGACGGCTTAATCAAATGATACACCGGTTTAATTCAGTTACAGGTCTCAAGTTCAATATTGGAATATCTAACTAATTCTGGGTCATAATCTTAGAATAATATGCTTGGCTTTGGTGAGCGTTTATAACATATCAGTAAAATGCATTTAACTAAATATACTGTGACCAATACTGTCCAATATAGGAATAGCTAACCAGTTCTAGGTCGCCATCTTGGAATAATATGCTTGGTTTTGGTGATCGTTTAAATAAATGCATTTAACCAAATATACTGTAATAAATACATGTCACACATGTCAATTATCACGAAAGAAAAAAAACGAAATCGAATAACCAATTGCAGATGCATGAATTTTATCCCCAATTTGCCCCACTATAGTATTGTAAGATGACGCTTAGCAACTGCGATATGTTGCTAGCATCAACACAATTGAGCCTCTACCTAAGTTTCTAAAATGTGGCTGAGAAAGTCACAATGTGTGTTTCGAAACTTTTCTCTTTAGCAGTGTGTCGATTCTGAAAATAGCTTTTTTCAGCTGAAAAGTACCCTTCAAACATATTGTTATTACGGTCCTCTTGTACATTTTGACGGTTTATATTCAGATCCTTGAAATAAATACTAAAGTCTAAAATGTTTTATTCTAGCATTTTCTGATTATTAGCGATTCTGTAACTAGTCAAGTTTATTTTTTTCAGCCCGTAAAAAAAAACGCTGAAAATTAGGGTAAAAAGGTTATTTACTTTACTGGGGAAGGGAAGTCGCGGGGAACAAAAACTGTATAACGAGCAGCGACACCCAATTTCGTAACGTTTTTCTTACTCATCTTTAATTAATCACATATATTTACAACATTTTAGTGATCAACAAATGGATCCAAAAAATGGAAAAAAGAATGAGACAAAGACGAAGAAAAAAAGAGAGAAAACGTGGAAAGAAGAGAAATAAAAGAAAAAAGACAATTCAAGACAATAGTACTATTCCACGCTTGATTGGACACACAATAGAATTCAAAAACGTGACGTCATCGGTGTTGGGTCAAACAGAACGGTGACGCAACGGTGACGTCACATTTGGATTATTAAAAGCGTGACAATGCTCACCAAGTTACGACACCGGAAATGCGTACGTAACACGAGTGGCAAGTGCTGTAGCACAGAGGTCAAATACTCTGACGTCCCATATACGTCATGATTGCATGGTTGAATAAACAATAAGTTCACATTCTCTTCTTGCACGTTATATCCATACTATTGCTCGCACCAACACATTGTATCTTACCGAATATTACATTATATGTTCATTATCATACACAACCAAAGGCCGAGAGGTTTCGGCTAATAAAGGACGCGCAACCTTTAATATCTACAGAAATTCGAAGGCGTACCATTTCGTACAAGAATCCATCAATACGACGACTGACCGTAGCTTTTTTATATAAGCAACGGGCATCTTACTGAAAAAGACTTTTACAATGAAATTTGAACATATTCGTTGTTTTCAACAAAATATGAATTAGGTATCTATCCTAGAAGGTGCCGGTGATCCACTTGCAACAAGACTGACCGCATAAAACATTTTTTCGTAATTTACATGTTAGATAAGAGACTGAATTATTGACACGACGCGAATCCCCATTTATTAAATAATTTTTAAAAAGGTTGGGTATGTAATTCATAATTGCCAAGTTAGTATATTATTGTCGAAGCGGTACAGAATTTGTATTCGAGATTGATAAACGTCAAAATTCGGAATTTGGAGAAGTTTATTTTAGTGCTTTGTGGTTGTTCTTGTCCTTGACAACTTGACTAGAATTGACAAATGAATTTGAACCACTGCGACTAGTTTGATAACCGTCGCAGCAAATTCAAGGATGTGTATTCTATTTATTTGTTGTTGTTTTGTCCTCGACTCTCACTTACGACTACGACAGCCGATAACATTTTTCTATGTGACAACTTGATATCCGCTGATGATTGCTAATGTTTTTACGATTATTATGGTCGATAACATCGAGTAAAAATTGCTCTTTAATTTTGTTTTGTATTTAATATGTTGCTTTTTATTTGTGTTGTCCTCGACTACTGGAAAATCAGGTGAATGCAAAATCTATGTTTAACATTGACGAAACCATATAGTTATATCAATTCCATGTACAAAAATGATGTCAGCGCAAATTTGCCCCCCATCGGTTTCCGACCAAAAAATTAGTCAATTTCTGATTAATGGAAGCCTCAATTAAAAAAAAAACTGTGAAAAATCATTCGTCTGCTCTATTATGAGCTTATTGGTTTAATTTTTTTGTCATTTTTGTGTCCTAGCTAGATCACACACAAAAGAATACGAGATGGGAGATAAATTTTAATAAGAGCTACAAGAATATGCTCTTTTGTTTGGAAATTTTTTAGGGACATTGGTACAGTTTTTATCATATTTCTGTGTATTATATTTTGGCGCACCAAGATGGCGCACAACCTGAACTCAGGTTGTTTACAAGGTTAGGGTTCAGGTTGTGCGACATCTTGGTGTGCATACTTCAGGAGTACCTATATTTTTAATTGGGCTTTCGACGTCGGAAAGTTTATTTTGGTCCAGTTTTAACTATTATTTATTCTATGTAAACCTGATGTCTTTGCCATCATTTGCTTAAATTCAAAATATGGTAAAATTGTAAACAATTTTTTAGTAAGTCAATTTGTTCATACCATGGTCACTCACACTAACTCAGAAGTGACGCAAAGCTACGGGTAGACACAGGGATGACAATAGCCTAGAAAACTTTTGGTTTCATTAAAAATGGGAATAAAATGAGAATTTACTGTAAAAGTAATTGATTACAAAGACGAGTCGAATTATACGCAAACCCTACTATTTGGTGACTGAGGTTACATACAAATAACATAAGCAGGGTCGTAGCCTGGGTTGAGGTTCGGAGCGCCCCCCACCCCCCCTAATTTTTTCAAGTCATGAAAAAGGAGTTTTTCTGTATCATGCATAGCAGTTTTCCTAGCTTGGAACACTTTTTAGACTCGCTAGTTGTTACGTTCTTACCAAGGTGACAATTACAAAATTCGGACCATAATAAGCAATATGCTACGTTGCCAACGGCTACAGTTGATCATGTACTTTCTTGATTGTAAATAAACGCAAGTAGGAGTATTGGGGAAGTTTGAGTCTCTGCAATTGACTCGTCTCAAAAGACCTGTGACTTGATTTGACAAGGTTTATGGACTCTAACCAACACTGGTCTGAATTTACCACAGGTTGAGAACCCATGGACTGAGATGTTATGTAGTTCGTCCCTCAAAGCAACACATCTATCAATTTTCCGTTTTACTCCTGTTTATTCAGTGTTTTGTGCAATATTTTGTTGTTTATGTTTGCAAATAAATATTTCAATTCTGCACTAAAATGTGTTTGACTAAAACTAATTGAGTTGGATGAAGCTTGGAAATAATAATTGAGTTTATCCGCTGTTTGTAACCGACGGCATGGGTGCGTAAAATATAGTAGAAGTATAGATTGTTATACTAAGTCAGGGGTTTGGGGCATTGTAACGTCATAGGCATAGATAATATTTGGACTCAGGTATAAGTTTGGTAACGCAAAGGGAAAGGAATTATTCGTACGTACCAGAGAAAACTTCGCTCAAACTCAATTCGCGGGCCGCACACGATTCAAAATTGGCACTTCTCTGCGTGCCGCATCTAATTATTTTTTCACATTTATAATTTTATATTGAAAATAATAAAATCTTTCTTTTGTAAATATATCATTTTTTTTATAAGTTATAAGTTAAAATTAAACAATAAAAAGTTTAATAGTTTATTTTCAATATCTGAAACCTTTATGTCAGAGCTCTGCGTCCCACTTTCTCAAAACTACAGTCAAGCTGATGTTTTTTATGTTTGTGGTCAAGTCTAATGGCTATAGAGTCGAGGCATGAAAACGACATAAAAAAGAAGCTCAGGAGCCGTGATCGGAGTGGCAATTTGAATAGACTTTGACTCCGGAGCCAAAGTAATCGTGATTCCGTACCAGCTCCCCAGCCCTGGGTTATAACAAGTGGTACTCCCGTAGTATATGTACCAGACTAGGGTCAGGCCATAATTTTATTCCGATTTTTCTTATTTTAGTTCTATTACGAGTTAGGGACTGTTTGTGTTAGCCAAGTGAATATATCCGCTGTCCGTAGGTTTATGTCTCTTTAAGGCGTTCATACAACTTGACGTAAAGTAGGGGAACAAAATTATTTTAGCACCCCCAAATTGGCACACACACTTCTATAGCGCCATAAAGGGAGCTCCGGAGCCGGAACTGGAGCCACAATTCGAATCGGGGCCAGAGTAATCGTGATTAAAAACCAGCTCCCCAGCCCTGGGTTATAACAAATATATAATTTCCTAGCGGTAACATTTTGCCAGGCTCCCTCAGACGAGCGTAATTGTGTATATCCCTAATATCTTTAATTTAAATATTCGTAAGCGAAAAATGTTGATGTCAAAGTATTTAGATGTACTAGAATATCCGCAATCAAACAACTTCGTAAAATTTGACTTAATTATACAATTTTTCATTAGTTGTCGTTTCGCGTTCTTCATACTTTTATCACGAACAGCTCTCGTTTAAGCAGCCTATTCGAGTGAAAAATATAATTTAAATTAAATGTATTCTTAAAGTGAAACTTCCTAAATACCATAAAATTTCATTTTTTTCAAATTTTCTTGACAAATTTTTTGAAACTGTTTATTGAGAACTATGCAAATTCAAATAATTTACGTTTCGTCTTGTTTAGCTCACATAGCGAGACGAATGTATCGGCCTTTTGGCCCAAATTTATAGTTGGAGGAAAAATATAACACAAGATTATCTGAATAACATAATTCTAAACATAGATTGCGGTGGTGGCATTAGAGAGAGGGACTCAAAAAATATGTCTTTGTTAAGCAGACAACCTCTTGTGACATAACAATAGATCAAGTGTTACCGAACAATTGCTAATACAACAATCTACTTGTATCGGTCGCACGCATAGATAAAAATGAATTGTTTTGTCATAACCATTAAAAAGCGCAAACGACCCTAAACGAAACAACTGATTTGTTTTTCAAAAAGCTGGATTTCTAGAAATATTCCTATAGTGATTACTCAGCTAGGCCTAGTCGCAACGTATATCAATAAAATTTCGGTGTTTCGGGCACTGTCCGGTCAATACTCTTCTGATTTGTTCACTCTAATTTAATTGTTTCACCTTTTTTATTTTAGAGAAAAGTGGGTCATAAATAAAACGCCATAAAATGTCAAAAACAGCCATCATGATGTCATAAAACGTGTTCCCATAAATAAAAATTATACAGCACATTCTAGATGGAATATCAGATCTCACAGAAAATTTAGGAACAAATAAAAGTAATAGTCTTTTGGCGAAATATACAAATTGTATACAATCTATAACCACTGAAAATTTCGAAGCAATTGGTCCATTAGTGAATAAGAAAAGACTTTTTCGTGTATGATGAAAAAAAGGACTACAACATAATTACAAAACGATCTATAGGTCCACTTCGTGTCCAATAAAAAAAAAAGATTTCTGGTGACAAGTCCTTAGAATTCGAGGACGAATGGTCTACTGGTTCGCAAAAGAAAAAATTTCACATGACTCGCCACAACAACTTTGCAAAACGGTCACAGGTTTACTTAGTCCTAAAAATTATAAATTACACCAACAAGGTCAATACTATATGGCCCGAGTTTGCTGTCAATTGATATCACGATGCTTCCTAGAAATGAACAACGACAAAAAGCACAAACACTTAAACTCTCTTCATTCAAAAACAACAAATTTTATCGCGCAAGAAACAACCCCTCAACTCAATTTTAAGCATAAAATATTTTCGAAGAAAATTTTGTCATAACAAATTGAACCAGTGATAAACTCGTGGACAAGAATGTTGACTTAGTTGGAATCTTCTTCAGGAAAGTTAATAGCTGGCCCGAACGCTGAACTAGGAGAAACGCCAGGTAACGTTCAACATTGACCAACGATAAAAAATGTTTTCGAGGTAAATTTTGTCATGAAAATTTGAACCACGATAAACTAACTCTTAAAATTAATACAAGT